GTTTTGTTTTGGTTTTCCTTTTAAATTTTTAAAAATCTGCTGTTTGACTAGTCTGATTTCAGTTTGGGGAACTGCATGACCAAAATCCTGGGCTTTTTTCACTTGGCATGGGAATGTATCTCTTCTATACTGAAATTTATACCCACTGCCAGAATTCCGTGTTCTTTATAGAGTGGTCAACATTTTAGCATCAGTGCTAATAATTTTTCTAACTCTCAATGTACTGATCATTAATCTAGGCAAAAGACAGGTCATTAAAAATACTGCATTATGGAACTTATTTGTCAACTAGAAGAAAGGACAAGATAGGAACAGTAGAAAGCATTTTTTAAAGATTCCTTGTTTCCTTGCATCATCTTCAGAACCCTCTCTATCAATGTAGTAGCATTAGGTCTTATTATTTTTTGTTTTTATTAGTGCATTATAGATATACATAATAGTGGAATTCATTTTGACATTTTTATAAATGCACTTGACCTATTTTCTCCATTTCAATCTCCAAGCAGTAATTATTTTAAGGACACACACACACACACACAAAAAAAAAAAATTGGTTTAGAATGTAGATAATTATATCCCTGATTTTTCTATTTGTGAAATGTTTAAATGTTTGAATTACTATAAAATTAATCCCTTTTAATCTCTCAAAATAAAACTGTTAAAATATTGAATAAATATATGAAAAGTTACCACTAAAATATAAAGCTTAGAAGGAGAACCTTTATCAACCTTAAATATCATATACTAGGTACTTAACTAATATTTATTGAATAGCAGTCAATTTTCTAGTCAGCGAATTTTCAATTATCCATACCAATGTAAGGGTACTCTGATGTCAGAAATATAAACTATAAGGGCCTACATATTCTGAGGATTTTCTATGTAAAACCAGGAAAGTAGCAATAGATAAACCAGCCCATTGGATTATTGTAAGGATTAAATGAGCTACCTATGAAAAGCTTTTAGCTGAGAGGCTGAAACACACAGCTCCTCAGTGCTAACTGCTATTATAATTATCATCATCATTTTTACTTACTATACATTCATTTTCATGATCTTCAATTCTTACAACAACCCTGCAAAACCAGTATGACAGTCCCAATTTTGATGATGAAACACAATGAGGCCAAATAACAGGTTTACAGTCACAAAGCTGGTTGTGATACCACTGGGGTTGGAACCAGGGTCTGCCTGACTTGTGAGTTTCAGCTCTAGCTGCCAAGTGATGCCTTAAAAATAGGGACCTTTCTTGTAGAAATTCACTCTTTGTCCTGATAGTTTGAGAATCCTAAAGGGAGCACAGATAGCAAAAGCAGAGGAGGCACAGTAACCCTGGAAAAGGCAGGAGCTTTACAATCAGACACCACAGGGTTCAAACTCAGCCATGTGACCTTCAATAGACATATGACTGCCAGAGTCCTAATTCCCAATTTATAAAATCAGGATACTCACACCAACCCTGGAAGGACTGACCTAAAGACAGACACAAAGTGTGTTAAGTAGTTGGTCTTGTCCTTGGCCAACAGTAGGAGGGCCATTAAGCGTCTGTATCAGAATCATCTTGTCAGCTTGAATAGCTCTTAGAAGTCATTGAGGAGACAAAAGATACCCGGCATTTTCTCAATGATTACAATAAATCAAGTGATACAATAAAATTCCCAGGAGTCAAATAACTATTATTACATATAATTTTTCCTTTGTCACATACAATTTTATACACCCATACATACAAATATATTTTTTGCCAGTTGTGATACCACTGGGGTATGCCTGTATATACTTTGCAAAAAAGTAGTATAGTCATACATCCTACATAAAATCATATTCACACACACTTGGTCACTTCCAAGGAGAGAAGAAAGAAAACAGTAGTGAAAATTAAACCAAAACAGGAATAGCCAATTTTAAAAATTCACTTTCCTAGAGCACGGTCATGCTACAGGAATCTATAAGGAGGAATCCACATATACACTATGCACTGTTCAGATCCATCAAGCAGAAAACGATAAAGAAAGGGGTGGATGTAGTCAAAGGAGAAAATGTTAAAACTTTTTATATAAATTCAGTAATCAGTCAACTCTATAATAAAATAATAGTAGGAAAATTCATTTCACTTTTTCACAAAATGAGAACTAAAAGAAGCACATTTACAAATACACCCTAAGCCAGGCACTAGGTGATTTTTCAACTCCCAGCCAAAGCAATCAAATAGAGATTAACATACCTATCAGCTAGAACCCGGCCGTCAAATGAAGGCTTTAAATTGCACATGTCCTTACCAAAAAGGACTTAAAAGATTTTTCTCCTAAACAAGAAAGAGTATTGTACAGTCTTTAATGAAATAATGTTTAATTTTGCTTATGTACTAAAAAGGCATTTTTAAGCAGATTAAAACAAAGAATTCAAGACTACCAGAAGAAACTTTCTAAAATGTCATCAGACCATTTGGTGCTCTCATCCAAATATGTTCTTCACCTTCCTTTTACCCAAGAGAAATTCCTACAAAATGATAATCAAAACAACCTCTTGGTAAGCAGGAATTGAAACGCTGCCTCTCAAATCAGATTACATTTCAAGTGATCTGAAACCAGACTAACAGCATTTTATGAGCATGTTCCTTATTTAAAGAAGTAACAGGGGAAACTGCCCTTGAGATTTCAAGGGACACAGGCACCAAAGTCAAGGTATGAGAGGCTCAAGGGTCACTGAAACATTCCACCCTCTAGCCACTGCTTTGGAGTAAAGCAGAAAGGAGAACAGGCAAAAAAAAAAAAAAAAAAAAAACAAAGGGTACTTGATGGTGACCCTCAGGAGAACAAAACACCTTAGAGAACTCTTCCTGAGGGACACTAACAGGCTTTCATCCCTGAAACTCTGACTGCCAAGTACATCATAAAACATGGGAGGATCAGATTCTCTTCCCAATATCCAGGGAGAAGATACTGCTGAGATAAAACTATTGACAGAGGGAAATGAGCTCCTTCAGCAGCCGCCAGTCTTAGGTACATTTTCTCAGAATCTCATGTCATAAACTTAATGAGCTATTTCGTGTACTTGAAATCCAGCAGAAAAGGTAAGACAGCACCTCCGGATTCAGGTATCTGCATTTCAGAATTAAAGACAGTTTACAATTGAGACTGGACGTGAGCTTTCCCAATTTATAGTCCACATGGAAAAAGGGGAGGGTGCTTCCAAGGGAAGTATTTACTGACTTAAAAGAATAAACTGTATATGCATTTTTTAAATTAAAAAAGTAGATAAGTACTATGTTTTGCTGATTGGGGTGATACACACACTTGGTCACTTCTCCTCCCCTCCCTCACTATTACATAAATGACTAACTCAAGGTGCCTGTCACACCTGAGGTCCTTTCCCAGTCAGAAGCTTCTGATGTTATGCCCTTATCCAAGAAGGATTTCTAAGTTTAGGGCAGCTGGGTGTTCCATGAAGGGATTCTGGAAAAGACCAGACTCTTAGTCTTTGGAACTAAGACTGGGAAATAATGAAGAGAATTCAGCAATTAGCAGGCAGGGCTGTGGCTAAAAGAAAAAAAAGTGAGAAGCTACATGGGCCATAGGGGCATTGAATGAGCCAAAATTCTGACTCAGTAGAAACTATATGACAGAGAAGAGATGCACAGGCAGTGGATAAGGAAGAGAACAGAAGAGAAGCAAACAGATGTGAGCAAAAGCAAATGCACACTGACTAGACACTGTGCTAAGGCTAAAGGATCCAGAGGGTGAATTACAAAAAAATCCTTACTGTTTGTCCTGTTCACCTCCAGGGTCCATGAAAGGTCAATTTTACTGGAATTTCCAAAGACCTGGATAGATGCTCAGTTTTTTCGTGATGCTGCAAAACCTGGGGTTGTGGATGATATTCCTATCTCTCTATTTTTACATCTATCTTTATAACAAATGCCCTAATACTTTCCTCATTTTAGGAAGTCCCTATTCCTTGTAATCAAACGATACATTCATCATTTTATGATGCTGGGGATTGAACTCAAGACCTTGTACATGCTAGGCAAGCAGCTGCCACTGGGCTTAAATCCTCAGCCTTTAAAAAAAAAAATTATTTTGAGACAGGGTCTCACCAGATTGCCCAGACTGACCTCAAACTTGGAATTCTCCCATCTTGGCTCCCTAAGCAGCTGGGATTATGCATGTACCACCATGACTGGCAAGAGTATCTTAAAATAAGGTTGGGCCAAGAGAAAGGACCTAGAATTTATATCTGTGAATACATATAAAATGTATATTTTACTGTAAATATATACAGAAAACATATGAAAATAAAATATATGAGTAACATTTTTTTATTTTAGAAGTAAAATGTACAAATTGCAGAACAATATGTATAATTGCCACATTACACGCATAAAGTACATTTTGGAAAAAAATATATATGTATACACAGAAGAGCATCTGAAAAGGTACATAGCTAATGAGCCACAGAGGATATCTCTGAGCAATGAAAACTGAGGGTTGTTATTTTTACCTACTGGATACTCAAGTATTATGCTACTGTAATTTAAAAACCTTTTTTAATAAAATAAAGGTTAGTCGTGCCAATAGCTCTTTCATCCTTTTGTTCTAAATACTATAAAATCCCTGAAATTTAAAAGATCAAAAATTCCAACATTCATTTCAAATTAAATTCCCAAAGATTCATTTCTTCCACATGTCCATAAATCAGATAGCTAGTTCTATAAAAAGACATCACATATTTAACCAATCTAGAAAATTCTCACACTACCAGCTCTAGGTTTGGTATCGAAAGGTCAGTGTGAAATCTGAAAGTCATTATTCTGTTTAAACACACCCATAAACAATAAGGAAGTTACCTACCCTTTGTTTGGATCAAAACCCAGGACCTAGGAGCCAGGACCCAAGGCAAGTGTTCTACCACTGAGCTATACTTTCAGCCCAGAAAGTTACACTCAGCTTCTATTCCAGAACTTTCTGTAAAGTCATTCCACTTTCTAGTAGAGAAAGTTCCAAATATCAGAACAAGGTGTTCCAACAGTACCCACAAGGGACAAAAGGCAAAGTATGACAGGTAATTTTACAGAAATATTAAACTACAATATAGATTTTGTTGGACGTATTCTGTGATTCTGAAAACATTTAAGTATAAGAAAAAATTCACTTACACACTTTTTTCAATATGTGTACCAAATTCTCAAGAAAGGAATTAGGTTGGGATGTAGTTCTGCTATAGAGTGCTTGCTGAGCATGTATGAGGCGCTTGGGTTTGATCCCAAAAATCTCACACACACATACACACACACACACACACACACACACACACACACACACACACGAATCAAACAAACAAATTATTTTGACAAATATTAATCTAGAATTAGCAAGCTTATCTTTCTGCTTATCCTTCTTGCTCTGAACAAATTAACTGTGAAAGAAAATGCAAATCCTAGTAATTTCCCAAAATACCAATTTACATTTTCCCCCAAAGTCCCATTTCATTTAAACTTGTACTCCTGACACCAAAATTCAAACAGTACCTATCTAGTCTTAGGTAATAAGGTTACTGGTAACTTATCCACCTTTTAATCATCTATACACAAATTTTCTGCAATGATCATCTTTTATTGCTTCTATAATATTTGGGAAGCTTAAAATAAATAAGCTTGGAGTTTTTTTTATAACCTCAGAGGTATAGGTAGCATATTTTTTTTTCTTTATTTCTTTTTTTTTTTTTTTGTAGAGGTACTGGAGATTGAACCCAAGGACCCTCTACCACTGAGCTTGATCCCCATCCCTTTCGTTTTTTTGAGACAATGTCTTACTATAAAATTGCTGAGGCTGGCCTCCAATTCATGATCCTTCTGCCTCAGCCTGCCAAGCAGCTGGTATTACAAGCATGTGCCTCTATACCTGGTAATATTATTTTTATTACAAGGAGTGAAGTGGACCATAATGTATATGCACAAGCAAAAAAGAAAAATATGCCTGATTATAACTTTTACCTACTAAGTAGCTGAAACTTTAATATCCCCCTTCTCATTGAAGACTTGTTAAGCACACATAGTTATCTGTTTCTAGTGGGCCTGAAAAAGGGGACATGAAATCAGAGCCTTCAGAAAGTCCTGCTGCTTCTGTGGAAATCATCAGGAAGATGGCTATAGAGGAACTGAGAAGCTCATCAGTTCTGGGCCAAGACAGCCACAATGACATTTTCTTTTCAGTGCTAGGGACTGAACCCAGGGCTCACATATGCTAGGCAGGCAAGCACTGTACCACTAAACCACACACCCACCCCAGCATTGTCACTTTTAAACAACCATGAGTATTTATTTTAGTAAAGGTAAACAATCTATTCTGTCTTGACTTGTGCCAAAAATATCACTAGTCTAAGTTTTTATTCTAATGATCACAATTCAGAGCTATACAAAAACACTTCCTCTCCCCCTTTCAGTCACCAAACTACCCAGGAAAAGTTGCCGTATTAGAAATGTTTCCACAACAACTCTTGTTTAAGATCAGGCCCTGGGTTTGGGACTCCAGAAGCTTAAAAGGGCATCTCTAAGAAAAAAAATTTTAAAAGGATTACAGAGTGAAACATTCTCTGTTACAGCCCCAGTCACTCAAGGGACACTAAACGTGAGAAAGTACAGACTGTTCCTCAACTGTCCAAAATTAAACCAGTTATTCTCCCTATCCAGATTTTTTTTTTCCACCTCTTAGTCGTTAATTCCTTCTGCTACTAAGGCAAGTATGTAACCCAAACAGTAGTAATTCTGTATGAATTTTTATTAAAGTACTGACTTACACACTGGATATTTTATTTGATTTATGATATATAACTTATACTAAACCATTAGTCCTTTGATCACTCAAATACCAAAATCTTTCAGGTCAAGGGAGAAGAAACTCTTCTTTGCTGTAGTGCTGGTGCTGGTACTGGTGATGGTGCTGGTGGTGCTGGGGATCAAACCCAGGGCCCCAATTCCACATACTGGGCAAGCCCTCTACTACCAAGCTACATCTCAGCCCCATACCCTGTTTTAGAGACAGGGTCTCCCTAGAACTTGCAATCTTCCTGCTTCAGCCTGCCAGTAGCTGGAATTACAGGTGAACACCACTGGACCCGGAAAACTCACCTTTTAAGTGACTAAAATTACCATAGGTGTTATTTTCCTAAGTAGGATGAATTTCAGACCTTAATTGCAATTTCATAAAAAAATTTTAAAAAAAACTTTTCAGGCATTTCTTTCTTCATAACATAAAAAAAAAAAAGATTCTGACTGCTACCATCCAACCCCAAGAATTTTAAGGTTTTTTTTTTTTTTTTTTAAGAAATGTAACATTTTGATGCTTCTGAAAATACTTCATTTTATTTGGGAGGAATCTCTATGTTTATAGAAATCACAAGAACACTGTCAGAATGAGTTCAGTGGGTAACATAAAAACTTGTGCCTTAAAACTGACTCCCTAAGTCAAAAAGGATGTCTATTACCACACAAAAAAAGAACTCTTCACCTGGAAATATGAAGATTAGTCTCCCAACCGAGCACATGAAACCAAAGACTTTTATACAAATCAGGGTTGGGATACCTACCTACAGTAGTGGCAATGCCTGAGCATGTTTAGGAGGTAGTCTACCACCACTCACAGCCATTGTAACATTATCCAGCCAGTCTCTGAAGGTATCTGAGAAATGCCACCCAGCTCTGTCACTTGAAACTTTCTGCAACAATAGAGAGATAGCCTGCACCTGCGCTACCCCACAAGGCAGTCGCCAGCCACAATTGGCTACTGGGCACTCAAAATGTTAGCAACACAACTTCAGGACCTTCTCTTACTTCTTTAATTTCACTTAATTTCAATTTAAACATAATTTACATTTTAACATGTTTTAACTTCCACACTGGACAGTTCTTTGCTAGCCACTCCTAGCCTGGCAGAAGTGCAAAAACCTGACCCTGTGCAAAAACTTTGCTTCAAGCAGCCTATCTATCTCAAACACCTTTCCTCACCTTCTTGTTCCTCAGCCTTACTTTGCAACACACACACACACACACACACACACACACACACACAGGGGTGCACACCATGCACCCATGTCCATGTCACTGACAAATTACAACCAAATACTTCAGACTATTGTAATACAGCAGGGGCAAAGGATAATGGTTAAAAGAAAGGTATTATGTATACAGTTTGGTTTACATGTTAAACTATCACAATGATGAACAAAGATATATGAAAATCATTTTAACACCTCTAAAGAAATAAGATTTTTACTATATGGTAAATATGTACTCAGATGTATATTTACTCTATTAAAATGGTAGTTCTGGGCGGGGGAAGTTGTTCACTACTTCAGTAGAGTGCTTGTCTAACTTACACAAGGCCCTGAGGTTGATTGTCAGTACCACAAAAAAAATAGAAAAATAAAATGAAATGATAGTTAATAAATTATTGGGGGTGGTGATGCTGGGAATTGAACCCAAGGCCTTGAAAATGTTAAGCATACACTCTTTATCACTGAACTATATACCCAAAGCATATAATTAATAAATTCTCAATTCTATGTTCCCTTCCTTCCCACAAACAGGGAATCAATGTGATGTACACAGAAGACAATACTGAACTAGGCGGAAATCATGAGCCTGGGAGTCTAAGGGCTTTGGGATCACAGACAAGATACTTCAACTCTGACCTTGAGAGTTTTCAGTTATAAAACAAAGGTGCTACAATAGATTTTCTTTTCACTTTCTTCCCAAACTGGATATCCTTATCCCCTCTTCCTGCTTATGCCATCTCTCACTTGGGAACTCACTTACAAAAGCCAGCACTGACCTTCTACTCCTTCCCCTAGAACCCTCTTCTGATGCTCCTCTTCCTCGGCTTTCTGAGTCACTCCTTAAGCAACGTTGGAGAGAAGCATTGCCAGGGAAAATGGAGGGAAAGGAAGGTAGAGAAAGAAAGGAAGAGAGGAGACTGGTTGATTTAAATTAAAATCTAAGAAATATAACCCAAAAAAGAATCAACCCAGAAAACATAATCCTTTTCTGATCACCAAACTAAATAGGGCAGGGAAGAAAGTAACTGGAGTGCTCCTTCTTACAACCCTGATACCAACTGATGTTTCCAGTTCAGAACAAGATCATGAATTCTTCTAAGACCTCAACCATCAATAAAGTGATTATGAGAAGTCTCAAATGTCACAGTTCACCGGTTTCCAAAATACTCTCCAGATGAAGATCTATCATTTATACGGCAGAAAGTCATCCATCTCCACTTTCCATCTAGTTTTTTCTGGCAGAGTTCCAACAATGAATAAAGAATGGAAAACTAAAACCCTATAAATGTCACCAAAATGTATAATTTTACCTAAGGGAAGAACTATATGATAGTTTAGCATAAACGTCACTTAATGGAAGCAATTTGAAATAAAATTGAAGACAAAATGAATGTCAAGATTTCCAACAATTCCATCTTAAAATGATGTTTTCCTATGTATCAAAATATACAATCAGTTTAAAAGGTCAATTCATCTACTTCCTCAACATTTAAGACATTTCTTAAAGCCAAGCCAGAATTCATTCTCGAATAACTGTTTGGCAAATAAGAAGAAACTTAAAATACTTCAGCATTTACTCACATTGGATTCCAAAGTGTGTATCTAAATCAATTCTAGAAATAAAGCACTGCCAAACCATTCTCCAAAACACTACCATTTCTCTTCTGCTTTCCTGTTAAGCCAAGTCTGAAGTGCCTTTTTAATTAATACTAAATCCTTTTCTAGAATAAAAAACTGAATCAATGAATGGCACATTTGAAACACACACACACACACACACACACACACACACACACACACCCTCTGAATCATTTCAATCATCTTGGACTTGTTTTGAAATAGTTTAAACAAAACTGTCCTGGAAGGAAATGTAAAGCCTCACATGATGACACTAGGATTCTATCTAAATAAGAAAAATAGTCTTTACCAAAAAAAAAAAAAAATACACTGAAAAGGAGTTACAGCATCCATTAGAATGGTCTCAACTTAAAAATAAAAGCTAGTTCTATGGTCTTGGTGTGTACCACTCCCATCCTATCACTCTTGGTCCCTTATAATTTATAAAAATGTAACCCTGGCCATTATAACAACCTCTGAAAGCCACTTGGTCTGCAATTCTGCTCCTGTGTTTCTCCTGTGATCCTGATCCTCTCCAACAATCCTGATTTCTACATAGCAAGAGGCCCTACAGAGCTTAAAAAATGAAGGTTATATATAAACACATAACAGGACAGAGATCCTGGGTACATTCAAGAAAGGAAAGCTCTAGGGCTTTTGAGGGGGCAGTGCTGGACTTCCCTGCGTGGCCCTAGAATGACTAAGTAAAAGGACTCCTGAACTTTGGCAGGCAGGTCTTGGTCCTGTACTCTGTTGAGGCCACCTCTCAGTCCCCTGATCTCTGGAGAGCCAGGCCTCTCTGTGCTCCATAACACAAACAGGTGAAAGCACTCAGAGTGCTTACTCTTGATCTTCCAGGATTAATTTCTACAGAGGACTTTAAGCTGATTGGCCCAAACTCAACAGAGTAAGTGCCACCATGAACCACAGACAAGATCAAATCCTCAGGATCCAGGAAGGCAAACTTTTGAGACATCAGACAATGTTTCTCTTCCACCAGAAGTGAAGGAAATATGTGTCCCCAGAACTAAGGCCTTTATCCAGAAAACATTTACCAAAAAATGTCATGTGAGGCAGGGAGCATAGAAATGAGATTCTGTCCTCAAGGAAGCATTAATAGCCTAGTGCCAGGCTGGGCACAAAGGAAACAATTGGCCTAAGTGTGAGGACTGCTAGGGATGAAAGGACCCAACAGGGCCAGAGAAGTATGAAGGGAGGGTTCCAGAGATTGTTTCTGTGCAGGGAAATCATTTATTCAGGGTCTTTAAAAAAAGAACCCAGCCAGGCATGCTGGTGCTTACCCCAGCTACTTGGGAGGCTGGGCAGGAAGGTCCCAAGTTTGAAGCCAAACTCGGCAACACAGCCAGACATGGTATCAAAAAATGACTGGGGTTGCTAACGAGCTGAGCAGACACTTCTCAGAAGAAGATATATAGTCGATCAACAAATATATGAAAAAATGTTCCACATCTCTAGTAATTACAGAAATGCAAATCAGACCTACTCTAAGATTTAATCTCACACAGTCAGAATTGCAGTTATCAAGAATACAAAAACAGTAAGTGTTGGCAAGGATGTGGGGGAAAAGGTACACTCAAACATTGCTGGTGGGACTGCAAAATGGTGCAACCAATCTGGAAAGTAGAATGGAGATTCCATAAAAAACTTGGAATGGAACCACCATTTGACCCAGCTATCCCACTCCTTGGTCTATACCCAAAGGACTTAAAAACAGCATACTACGGTGACACAGCCACATCAATGTTCATAGCAGCACAATTCACAATAAATAAACTGTGGAAGATGTCCTTCAATAGATGAATGGATAAAGAAACTGTGGTATATATACACAATGGAATATTACTCAGCATTAAGATAATAAAATTATGGCATTTTCAGGAAAATGGGTGGAGTTAGAGAATATCATGCTAAGCAAAGTAAGCCAATCCCAAAAAACCAAAGGCTGAATATTCTCTCTGATAAGTGGATGCTGAATCATAATAGGGGGGTGAGCATGGGAAAAATGGAGGAACTTTGATTGGACAAAGGGGAGGGAGGAGAAAGGAAGGGGAATGGGGGCAGGAAAATATGGTGGAATGAGATGGACATCATTACCCTAGGTACCTGTATGACTGCACATATGGTATGACTCTACATTGTGTACAGCCAGAGAAAAGTTGATCTGAAATGGTGTACAATGAATGAAAATGCATTCTGCTGTCATGTACACCTAATTAAAATTAATTAATTAATTAATTTTAAAAAATAACTGGCGTTGGCTGGGCATGTGGCGCATACCTATAATCCCAGTGACTCAGAAGGCTAAAACAGGAGAATCCCAATTCAATGCCAGACTCAACAAATTAGCAAGGCCTAAGCAACTTAGTGAGACCTTGTCTCAAAAGAAAAATAAAAGGGCTGGGGATGTAGCTCAGTGGTAATATTCCCCTGGTTCAATCCCCAGTACCAAAAAAGAAAAAAAGAAAGAAAGAAAAAGAAGAAGAAAGACTGGGGTTGCAGCTCAGAGGTAGACCAACAATGGCCTTAATTTCCAGTATCACAAAAGAGAGAGAGAGAGAACCCAGATCAGACACCTAATTATATGAGTGTATTCAGTGCATGAACATGCTCTAAGATATGTCCAATTTTGTTTTTAAATAAGATCAGATTCCCTATATTGCCCAGGCTGATCTTAAATTCCTGAACTCAAGGGATCCTCTCACCTCCCACCTGAACAACTGAAACTACAGGCTGCCTTAGGTATACTTTTCAACATTCATCTTTTACTCCAATAGAGTAAAATATAAAAGGAGAAACAGAACTTACACAGATAAAAGAAGGGTAGTGGAAGGAAAAACTTGCCCCACAGAAGATACAGAAGCATGAAGCATTTCAGCAGCTGCACAAAGATCCCCCTGGCTACAGGGTCCATCCTAAGGATGAAAATGACAAGATGTGGATAAAAAGGGAGACAAGAGACAATTTCCAAGAGGCCTTAAAAGACATGGAGAGAGTGAATCTGGAGGATGATGGGAGGGCTACTAAGGCAATTTAAGCCTGTGAGCAATAATTAAAAAAAAAAAATTGGCATAGGGATATCACTTTGTAACAATGCATACTGAAGCTGGAAACAAGAATGGGGACAAAGAATGAAGATTAGAAAATTATAATAATCCACATAAGAATTGACAAAGGCTTGAACTAAATCCGTGGGACAGTCAAAGGCAGACCAAAGATGTCAAGGATGCTGAAGATTTAGGACTTTGATCAACTAGATGTGTAAGACTGCTGAAGATGAAAAAGCACAGGATGACTATAGTATTTCACACTTGAGAGTTTTCAAGAGGCAGAGCGTAGAAGAAGCAGGATTAGAACTGAGATAAGGGTGGAGAGACCTCGTTTAATTGTGAATATAGAGTTCCCCGTGCAGCATTTAAACAAAGACATTATAAAGTTATCCAAATATCAATGCAAAGTCAGCCCTTCAGTTTCAGACCTAGAGGTATGGATCCCAGGGAGCTGTGGCAGGCAGGGGAAGCAGAAGGAAGTACAAGAGCCAGAAATGACACTAAAGCCCCAGCTGTCATTCCAGCAGAAATGAAAGATGGTGCCCAGTCCTGCTGAGGGAAGAAGACTGAAAGGCACCGCTTTGCCCATGGCTCTGGCCACAGAGGGATTGCTATGCTTGTAGAGAGAGCAACTTAGGTTTTTCACAGAGAAAACAGAAAGAAGCCAGATTGCAGAGGGCTGGGAGTGAATGGGAGGTTCCTTCTAACAGCTTAGCTGTCAATGGAAGGAAAAAGATAAGGGCCTAGCCAGTGGCGGGGAGGAGCAAACAGAGTGATGGTCTCTGTTGCAGCTCTCTTTTGTCTTTTAAGAAAGATAAGAAAGAGGACTGAGAATGTAGCCCAGTGGTACACTGGGAGTGTAGCAAGTGGTAGAGCACTCGCTAGCATGCAGGAGGGGCTTCAATCCCCCAACACTGCAAAAAAAGAAAAAAAAATGAAAGAGAGAGTCTTGAGAATATTTGTAAGCTGAGGGAAGGAGAGAGGAGCACAAAGAAGATGACTTTATCTGAAAGTGAAGGCCCCTTTCCTCTCCCTCACAGGGACACACAGTAAATATTTCTTTTAGTCAGCAGCATTTCCTGCCAGCATGGCACCCTTCAGGGCAAACTCAGAGGTGGAAGAAAAGTGCCCTCTTAGCAGGTTGCTCTCAGAGCCCTTCCATAATGGGCTGTTCCTCCCCAGCAACCTTCCCGCAGGATGCTCTCACCACTTGTCAGAGGGCCATTTGGCACCCAAACCCCTGAGTTATCCAAATCGCCAGGAGCTCCACAGGTCTCTCTCTAGCTTCCTTCTCACAGCAGCAGTGGTGTGGGTGGTGTGGGGCTACAGAGATGCAAGAAGCCAGCCCCACCTGGGCCTCTGGCTCCCCTTGCAAGGCGTCCACCAGACATGAAGGCAATCTCTCCCTCTCCCTCCCCCTTCCTTCCCTGGCAGAAACCAAGCAGAGAGACTCTTCAAGCCACTTCAAAGTCTTGCCAAAGACAGGACCGTGTTCTGTCCTGATAACTTGAATCTGATTAGCAAATGGAGTTTATGCTAGTTATGGCTAAGACTAATTGAGAGTGTGCCCTGTGCCAAGCACTATTACAAGTGCTTTACATTCTCTTCATCCTCACAACTCTATTTTTATCACCTTCATACTACCAGTGAAGAAACTGAGTGCAGACACATCTAAGTAATTCGTTCAAGGTCACAAATGCCAGTGACTGCTATGGCAGGACATAAAACAGACCAGACCATCCGACTCCAGAGCTGGCACTGCTGCAATTTATTTTCAAACACCATCCAAAAGTGCAGTGTACAATAAACCACAAGAGTCAGGAGGAAATGTATATTATCAGTCACAAATGAATCAACAAAGCAAGAATTTCAGTCCCTCTCCCATAGTATTTTTTTTAACCTCAAGATTTTCTGCTTTTGAGCCAGAAGCCCAAACTTAAAGTTTGAAAGGCATA